CGATAATAAGTTCCAGTGTGTCTGTGCATGATTGTCTTCTATGAAATCCTGCTTTTTAATTTTTTTCAACGAAAGATATTTGGTCTCTATCATTTTGCTGTAAATTATACTTGCTAAAACTTTCTGTATGGCTGGAAGGAGTTCGAATATCTGAGAGTGAACACTGTATAGTTTGTATAATCGACGTAATTTCTGAAATTTAAAATCGGAATATTCGTGCCGTTTTTTCACCCTTTTAGATTTGCCAATTTCCACCAAATATATTGTAAAGACCAGAAAGTAGAATCGATCCAGCTGATTGGATTTTCGTTTTTTACTTCGATATTTCTGTGGCGATTCCGTCTCTTGCAAGCCTTAGCTTCAAGAGAGCCATATCTTTTCTGGGACTTTTTCTCTCTCAGAGATATGCCAGAATTGACATTCAGATTTTCTCTATTGCTTTGTTTCATATTCAGGTCTACTCATCGTCTTTCATTTATGACTTATTGCAAGGCAATGTTGTTTTTACACCTGATTGTCTCAGATAACGCAAAACTCCTATAAGATCAGAGTATGTGGTTTTACTAAAGTATTTTTTATCGACTAGTTTGATCTTTATGCGGTAACATTTGAGGAGTAGCAGCTCCAGAAACATTGTTGGTAATGAGCGTGAGGTGGACCTAGCGAATTTAATGATGCGATTTGCATCTGGCACTGCAGGTGCTCAAATACCATGGGGCAGTGGCCTGCTTAAGTTCCCCCTAGGCAACTAAAAGCAAGGTGGCGGTGCTATATGACGCAAATTCTTGTCTTGGAGGAGTCGTGAGTTATCTGGCGTACTATGGCATACTTATATGACGTTGGTTGGTTGTACATATAAGGAGTCCCATCTCCTGAAATATCGTTCGTAATGAACGATAGGTGGTTTTGAGTTAAAACTTGTATTTAGTAGTTTACTGAGAAAGTTTAATAAATCACATCACCGCATGTAAAGAGTCATAAGAAACTGTATTAGAATATGATAGAACCGCACGAAACATAAAACAAGTTGTTCGAACGCTAACTGGTGCACCGGGGTTTTCTACGTATTGCTGCATGGTTGAAAGCTAACAAATAATTGAAATTTTCTGTATGGTCATGAATTGGCTGTTCGTAGTTACTGGTCACTTGGTTCATATACGGTAAGCTTTCGTTTATGAAGTGACAACGTTTTACTTTCTGTCACTGAAAAATTTGGTGACAGCTTTCTTGCCACTTGATTCTTCATTGGCATCACGTGCGATACACGAATAAGCGGAGCGAGCGCTACGTTGTTGTACTGGTATGCCAGTTTTGTATCGATCAGATTGGGCAGTCCAGTGACGTCGCAAATTCTGTCGCTGGAATTTGTTACGAATGTTGGCATATGACCAAGCATCGGCTTCCATGCTAAATTATGGTCACGGTTAGAGAGGCTCTTTCACTACCTGTGGTGATTTCTCATCAGTACTCGTATATCTGACGCCGCTCTGTTGTAAGTCCGATGCTTCCTCTGTTTGGACATCAGTCACAGGTGCTGCTTCGGACGCTACCGCCGCATCGTCTACGTCAGCAATGTTTCTCAGTTTTTTGCGAAGTTTCGCACGACGGTTCTTGAACCATACCTAAATGAGCAAATACGGTTACTTCTCCTTAGAGAATCATTGGTTATTTGGAACTTGTCAATGAAATCACTCACTTATTTGAATCAGCATGGATAAGCAAAAGCCGTTTATTAATTCTTTAACATAGAATCGTTACTTGTTATGAATCTCTCGGCTTACGCGTCATTTGTCGTATGGGCCTGGCGATCTATCTAAACAGGCGTGGTTCAATGGTATTTTAGCACCCGCGTTCTTCGATTCATATAATGAGCACCTTAAATGTGTCGCTGCAATATCCTGCGCGCTATCAGTGACGTGTCAGGAATGAATACTCTTAGATGACTTTTGTGTAGTGATGAATAGCGTGTTGCATTAGTATAAGATGCCATTTGAAAGGTATCAAATATCTTTTTCGACTCACTGCTGTATGAACGTATGAACGTCACACCAAGATTTTACCATATACTTCTGTTTTCTGTTTTTGCCCATCTTGATCCAACGAATTTCATCAGCTCATTCTGCCATCAGTCTGGAAGTCTTCCTACTGACAGTGTACTCTCACTTTGAATCCAACCTAAAGTCTCTGGTTCAGCGATAGTCGGTAATTTGAAACAGATTAGATATCTATAATCTTCGCAGCTTCGCCCTTGGAGCGGTAGTCTGCGTGAACCTTTAAAGCATGGAAGCTGTGCACAGTTGTGGTGTAAGTTTATCATTTATGAATACGAACATATTACCAGCATGTTTAATACATATACTTGAATATACGTTTACTTGAGTCAGCGTTTTCCAGTTTTGTATCCAAACAGTCTGAAAATGTATACCTACTCGCTGTGCGAAATTCAAATTAATCTTGTTCTTCTAATACTGACGGATCTCCAGCTATTGATTTCAACGTAGGACCTGATCATTCTATATTACGGCCAAACCCAAGATGCTGCGTGTGACACCTCGAAAAGGGCTACTTGAATGAACTGAACAGTAACTCCATGTTCACTGACCACTCTTCGACCTACCTTATCATATGTAAACTTGATCTGCCGCTGAAGTTGGTTAGAATACTGCCATACCAACCTACTCTGCGTTATATCTGGACGATGCTATAGCAGATTAAGACGAGTTTTTCTCTTAGTCACTGTTTGCACCGATAGAATTTTCGATAACAGCCTGCATACATAAACTGTATGCTCGGCAATACGTGCCGAAGATTCATTCATGCTAAAGATCTTGCGCTCTCAACGCCGGCGTAGGTTTCCAAAAGTCGAAGAAAGTCTTCTCACATGCCGTTATGGATTAACGTTACCGCAAGTTGCCGTTAAGCCATTGAATGACGCTTCATGCGGACCGGTCACTTCTTTCAAAACAACAAATTTCAAGAGGTCATTTTTTGATATGGCTCTGAGAGATCCGTGGCTCACGTGCAAGTTCTTAAATAGATTTTAGCTTAGGTTTATGTGGCCGATAGAGTGGCATCTCACTTGACCTGCAAGATTTTGTTGTGTGCCGAGAGGTAAATGTCCTATTATTTTGAAAGGGAAGAGTAAACTGGCAAAGATTTAAATTTAGTTTAAGCTGTGTCATTCAAATGTCTTACTTTCTCAAGCAAGTGAACATTGCTGTCTTAAGTTCTAATTTGTATTGTTGATGGATTGTTTTAGGTATCTGGTCAAAATATCAGAGGGCAAATTTTCACCTCGGGTTATTCGCACCACTACAGTATAAGCGGCCAAAGGGCCAACTTGCACTAGAGTGTGTGAAATACTCGGCATTGTTAGACCTTTTAATCCAGCCTGTGCAGCTTGACTGCATTGCGGATGACCGGAATTATTGGAAAAACCTCCTGAAGGTTGCTTTCTCGCAACTTGAAGGGAACAACGGCTTATGAAACTGAATGAATAAATTAACGATAGTATATTCGTCACGTAATTGTTATGTTGATGTTAATTATGCCTGCCACTTCAGATCCTGCTTGATTCATCTTCAAAGATCTGCCGCGTGAATATCAAATGATATGTTCTCACATTCGCAAGCCACTGCGCTTCAGCGCGTTGTTCACGAGAGGCTTGGAGGTATTGTTTCCTTGTTTCTTGACACTGATGTAGTC